ACAAACACAGTTTTAAGGTTATAGATAATTTTTAACAGTTTTTACCCCTCCCCCACTTTTGTGTTCAAAGATAGGCAAGACCTAATAGGGTCACAGGTAGTGGTCACACTGGGGGACCATGGCTATAATTAAGTTTCTCCGAAAGGTTGGTTATCAGCAGTTCCTGTGTGTGAAAGAGACTGACCTAAATCTGTAGGTAGTGGAAATTTTTGCATCTTCCACACAAAACATATGTGTGAAATATCTTTTTATCATCACAATGTTGAAGATGTTATGAATATTGGTACAATTAATTGTGGAAGTAGTATAGAAAATTAATTTACTATACAGAAGAGTTTGTATTTGTTCTAATAATAGAAGGTTCAGGTGATATTTAGAATTCTTTAATTTTGCATTATGAACTGCTTATATTAATAAGCAGAAATTTAGTTTAAATACAGTCTCTCTCTATCATGCACACATAACATACAAACACACACTCAGTCATATTTTTCAGCCATATGATATCATTGGGCTGGAGGATAGAACAGCGGGTAGGGTGTTTGCCTTGAAGTGGCTGACCCAAGTTTAATTCCTCTGTCCCTCTTAGAGAGCCTGGCAAGCTACCGAGAGTATCCCAACCACATGGCAGAGCCTGAAAAGTTACCGTGGTGTATTCGATATGACAAAAACAATAACAACAAGTCTCACTATGGAGATATTACTGGTTCCCGCTCAAGCAAATTGATGAACAATGGGAGGACAGTGCTACAGACAGTGCATAAAATCACTAGCCTGAAGTAAATGTGGAAATTCATTAGGATTTCTCACGGCCTAATTCTTACTTTCATCTACCACTAACCCTGTCCCTCAAATTCATATATTTCAATCCTTCCCCTTCTATTTTGAAGTGACACTTTTTAGAGACAGAATCTTTAGCAAGGCAATGAAGTTCACATGAGGCATCAGAGTGGCTCTAATTCAATGTCTGGTGTGCTTATAAACATAGGATATTAGCACTGAGATTCGCACAGGGAAGATGGCATGATAATATAAAAAAAAGACAGCAATATGCAACCCAAAGAGAGAAGTCTCAGACAAAATCAACATGATGACGTCCATTATTGATCATTAGCAACTGCATTATTGAAAAGTAAGTAGGTTTTAAGTCTTCAGCACTGCTATGGCAGTCCTAGTACTTAGATAGGAGACTTTGCTATACCTTTTCTAGGGAGTCAGTAAGAAGCATTGAATAATGCGAGTTGTCTATTACACACTAACTTTTGTCTTCAATATATATCCATGTAATTTATTCTCTGGCATTACAAAACTAGTTGTGATTCAAAGGGAAGTTTTTATTTAATAATAAAACACATAGAGTGATAATAGCACATGAAAATAATGTATGCTTTGTGTGTAAAACTTCCAAGAACCTAGAGGAAGAAATATGAGGTATTCTTTATGAAAGTCTAAGATACTGAGAGACTAGCACTGAATTGGATACTTAAGTACTGTAGCTAAAATGTAAAGAGAATAGAAGATAGTAGAAATTGTCAAAAAGGAGTTCTTCAATAACTAGGATCTTATTTCTCTGAATCACACCCAACACCCTAATAAGGTTATTGTTTAAGTTTGTCTTTTTGATGCCCCCTCCCCAGTGGTGGTCAGGGATATCTCTTAGCTCTGTGCCCAGGGATCACACCTGGAGGGACTCAGGGGACCATATGTGGTGCCAGGGATTGAACTCTGATTGGCTGTAAGTGAAGCACATTCCCAAATCACTGTACTATGGCTCTGACCTTCTGGTTTGGTTTTCAAACAGAAGCAATAATAAATAAATGCAGTTACATTAAATTAAGATTCTGTACCTCAAAAGAAGCAATGACCAAAATACAAAGACAACCACAGACTGGGAAGAAAAATTTGCCCGCTGAGATTTACCATCTGATAAAGGGTTAAAATCTAAGCTGTATAAAACATTTGTAGAACTGTATCAAAAAAAAAAGAAAAAGAAAAGAAAATCCTAGCCCATCAATAAATGGGAGAAGAGATGAACAGAAACATTGTCAATGAAGAAATGCAAATGGCCAAAAGTCTTGAAAAAAAAAGCTCTATATCACTATCAAAAAACATAAAACACTATCAAAACACCACCCCACAGCAGAAAAACTGACTCTCATCTAAAAGCATACCAACCAGTGTTGGCGAGGATGTGGGGCAAAAGGGATTCTCTCAGTCACTGCTGAGAGAATTGTGGGAATGTCAATTGGTCCAGCCTTTTTAGAAAACAATACTGACTTTCCTCCAAAAAATGTAGGTATTGTGCTTCCATATGACTCAGTAACTCCTGGGAATTTATCTTCAGGGCCCAAAAGTACAATGTAGAGAAGACATCTGCACTCTTATGTTCACTGCAGCACTATTCACAATATTCAAAATAGGTAAGCGACCCAAATGTCCAAGAACAGATGACTGGATAAAGAAGCTATGGTACGTATACACAATGAAATACTACTTGGTCTTAAGAAAAGATGGAATCGTGCAATTTGCTGTTATGTGGAGTGTATCATGTTGAGTGAAATCAGTCAGAGGAACATGAACAGACTCAGAATGATCTCTCTCATAGTGGGATATAAAGAAAATTCACAGGGAAATATCAAATGCCTAGTGGCAATACAAATGAAGAGCAGGAGATCTGTTCTTCATTAGGACACTTGCCACTGGTTTGGGATGGGTAAGGGGTATAAGTTAATAAAAAGAACATTAGGACAAAGTGGGTAGGAGAAAATGCCTGCTACAGAGGAAAAGTGGTGGAGGGTAGTGGGTAACGGAGAAGGGAATGGTGTTAGAACATTGTATGCCTGAAACAATCATAAATATCTTCAGAACTTTGCGATTCATAGTGATCCAATTAAAAATGATACAATTAGGAAGTATGAAATTTTTTTGTTTTCTTTTTCAAAATTGCTTTTGTCATTTGAGGTTCTCCATGATTCCATGTGAATTTTCAGATGACATTTTTTTCTATTCCTGAATAAAAAATGCCCTTGAAGTTTTGAAGATGACATTGAGTCTGAACATCAACCTGGATATAATTCTGGGAATAATACCAAGACTCAGTAAATGAATCTTGATGTCTCTTCATTAACTTTGTCTTCTTGAGTTTCAGCAAAGTTTATGGCTTGTAAGTCATCGCTGTTAAGTACATTCTTGAGCACTTTATTCTTTATCATCTAATTATTGTAGGTGAATCATTTTTATGTCTTTACAGATTGGATATTAGTATAATGCAGTGAAAAAACTGGTTCCTGTGTGTTGATATTGCATCCTGTGTTGACATGGCAGGAGATTTTAGAGCTTCTCAAAGCTCGCTTATCTTTGGCTCCTTCCATGTCTACCTAAAGAACTGCAGCACTGTGTGCTACTCAGCTCAGTTTTCAGTGGTTTCCAGATTTGGGCTGGAAAATCTGGTCCTGATTAAGCAAGATGGAAACTAACCAGCTCCTCAAGAAGACTCAAACATTCTACCATGATGCACACACCACCACTTCCTTTCTTTCTATTTTAAAGAAGAACTCTTGCTTTCCAGGATTTTTCTCTCTGAAATGTGTGGGACAGAGAGGCACCCACGAGTGAGAAAGGCGATAATGGCTGAACTCAATGCCAGGATTATCTTGCCCTGTGTTCGAATCCTCTCTTCCTTTCACAATTGCCCAGGGATCATTGCTTCTTGCTGGGCAGTATATTTTTTTCAGTTTTTTCAGATGTCGCTGTCAACCAGTGTCACTGTGGAAGAAGGAGGACAGGCCATTTCCTAGACTATCTGTTGTTACCTTGCTAATTTCACCTTTTCTCTTCTATTTTAAGCCCAGAGGACTCTCTGGTTCTCATGCTTCTTACATTTTTATCTTGTGCAAAATGACTTTTTTGGACCACACCAAGTGATGCTCGGAAATTACTCCTGACTCTACACTCAGGAATTACTCCAGACGGTGCTCAGGTGATCATATGGGATGCAAGGGATCAAACCTGGGTTGGTCACAGGCAAGACAAAAGCCCTACCCACTGTACTATTGCTCCGGCCCTTAAAATGATTTTCTTATCTCTGTCCCACCTTTTGTAACTGCATAACCATTACCTCATGTGTTACATTTTTTTTAAAAAAAGACTCACATAATTGTCTCAATCCACTTTTTGAAAAATATAATCTCATAAGATCAGCAATGAGTTATGGTCAAATGTGGCCTCTCCATATACTAGTCATCTCTTGGCTGTGATTGTTCTTTGCATTCAAAAGCAACTTGTACTTACCTATTTATCTGAACACATTAAGCCAGATAATTTAATGTCAAAATAAAATGTTTTGGTTTTTTGCTATACCTGACTTTGCTCTGGGCTTATTTGGGGCTCTATATTCAGGTATCACTTCTGAAGGCACTAAGTGACATTATTCAGTCAGGGATTAAACCCAGGTTAGTGGCACACAAGGCAAGTGACTAATCTGTTGTGTTCTTTCTCTTGCCTTCACCTCTGAAAATGTTAATATATATTATATGGGCATATAATTTCCCTGAATATAAACATGAAGTATAATACTGATTCCTACTATTTTTTTCTAAAACGACCTCTCAGTAAAAAGGTGATCAAATAAATCCATTCATTTATTAAGTATTCTGTGTCTTGGCTTCTGCATTTTGAGAAACCCAATAAATCGGCACTCTCGATGAACGTTTCTTTTTGCCTTGTCCTGACCTCAAGAAAGGAACTCAAAGTGATGGTTAGATAAACAAACAACAAATAAGCCCCACCAGAATTTTGTCGAAAAACACACCAGCTCATTAAGTGGTGCCCAGACATAATGGACACCCAAGAGGACTACATCATTAATTTATGGACAAAACACAGAGATAATGTTCGGGTGGGAGGGGATATCAAGTGAGAACAAAGAGTTTTAGACTGGGCACTTCCTTTCACTGATCTTGAGTCAGACAACTGGAGTGTGTCCTTGTAAGCAAGTTTAGTGCTATGTTTTTCTGTTTCCTATGGACCAGGTGATATATGCTGACTTAAACCTACGCAGGAATTCTGGCCTTGAAATTTCATCTCCATCTCCTCCTCCTCAGAGTAAGTGCTTTAATTTTTCTTTGCTCTTAGTACATCTCTCAGAGTTAGGTTTGTTCCTAAATTTATGAACTTAAACCATTGTTTCACAGGTGAGCAATATGGGCTGGAGCAATACTATAGTAGGTAGGGCTCTGCCTTTGCACGCGGCCTACCAGGGTTTGATCTCCAGCATCCCACATGGTTCCCCCAAGTTCACCAGGAGTAATCGCTGAGCAAAGAGCAAGTAGTAAGCCCTGACCACAGCTGGATGTGGTATGGCCCAAAAACAATAACTAAAAATAAAGATGATCAGCAATATTACATTAATATTTAAAAAGTCTAGCATAAATGCCTCTAGATACAATGTGCAAAAAAGCTCACACTTTTCAGATTTTTCTGTATTGATAGCACTGTTGAAAGTAAACTTTGCTTCTATTGATAAACCATATTGTTATGTATAAGTGACCTTATTTTAGAAAACTTTTGCTTACAAACACCTTTGAAACTACTAAAAGCTAAAAATTATAATTATAATAGATACGACATGTTATAAACCAAATAGGAACACAGGGGGCATTAGTATTATATGAGAGGTATAGAAACTATTCGCACACAACTTTAAGTAGAAAAATGGAAGTATACTTTATCAGAATAATTCCCATCAGAGTTAATATATCTTTGGAAGTTGTGGTCCAATGTTATTCAAGACTTTTATCAGTAGCTTCTGTTTTTTTTATTTCTTCTATGAAATTCAGGTTTTGAAAGATATCTAGAAGCAAAGAATCAATAAATTGGTTGATAAATTGGTAAAATGAGCATAAATGTGATTCATTTATTTTCATTAGTATACTTATTCTATTATATAAGTTAATTTCATTAATAATATTATTTTCATTAATATACTCTCTTAAGAATATGGTTATACTGTTTGCTATATAACTTCCGAGAAAACCAAAAGTTTGTGCTAGGGACAGAACCAAGGAAGAGGAGCTAGGCAAGTGCCTTAATCCCTGTACTGTCTTTTCGGCTTCTAAAGGCCTTTATTTTTTAGAGAATTTTCTTTGACTTATTTTCTACAATAATTTATGTGCTTCATTTTTGTGTACAACTCAAAAATACCTTCTTTCTATGTTTTTGATTCTTGGCGCAATTGTTCACGCATAAAAACCATAGGTATTTGATTCAATCAATGAGAAAGTTTTCAACTAGATCTAAGAATCATCTCGTGAGATGCAAAAGAAGACTGATAAATGTTGTAGACTGTGACCAGTTGTTTATTTTGATCCAAACAATCCTCTTTTTGAACCAGATGAGCACAAATGTGACATTAACCTATGACTTTTTTTTGCTTCTCAGATATCTGCCAAGGTTTGTGCAAGCACCAATTTCCACTAAAATTTGTCTGTGTTTTGGTTATTATTATTATTATCCTGTCTGCAATAGGGTTTAGTGTTTCAGGTAAGTGATTCAAGATCCTCTTTTTTAAAAGAATATTTACTCTACCACTGTCACAAATATTAGAGTATCAAAATATAATTTGGTCACCTAAACTTAAAGATCAATGAGATAAAACTAGAGGACGATTATTTAGTGACACTGAGAGCCTAACAGATTACAAACTTCAATCTTTCCTCTTTCTTCCTGATTGTTCTAATGTTCTCTATTATTTACATGTATTCCAAGAATATAAAAAATCACTAGGGTGATTGTAGGGCAGTCAGGGTGCTTGACTTGAACAAAGCCAACTCGAGATTGATTCCTAATACCACGAAAGGTCCTCACAGCCCTTTAAGAGTGATGTCTGCATGCAGAACCAGGAGTAACCCTAGGCACCACAAGGTATGTTCCCCCACCCCCACCCCCATCCTACAACAAAAGCAGAACAAAAACCCAGAAAACAAAACAGTTCCATTTTTTAAAAATATTTTCAGTTCCAAACTGCACCAAGAAATCTCTCCTGCAGGTGGGATAGGCATTATATATATAGTTATATATATTATATATATAGTCTCACATGGTAAACTACTATAAGCAATTTAAAAGTGTAACTGATGATTCAAAATTCTTTTATTAAGCAGAAGACATGAAACATGAAGAATTCTAGGTTTGCATGATTTCATTGGCCCCATGAATTTTTCTTGTTCCTCTATGCCATCTTTTAACGAGATCTTCTTAACTACAGTGCTATCACTATAATCTATTGTTCAAATTCAAGCTAAAGATCACTTATTTTCTGAAATTGATAAACATATTTATTTCACCCAGCATTGAAATATTTAATCATAATAACTTTTCCTTGTTTCTTAGTCATGTTAAGACAAAAATCATCAACAGAAAAACATGTTCCAGAGAGTAGGAAGAACACAACAGGTAATTCTGTGACTTGTGTTTCTTAAAAGGAGAAATTGGCACTTGGTGAATATCATGCACTTCTTTAATTTAGGGTCATAACAGTGCATAGTTAAGATGGTTCCAAATCTGTGATTTTCTGTTTGACAAAAGTGGGACATGCAAAGCTTGTATGAGATTTTGTGGGGTTCTATAAATGGCAGTAGTGACACTGTGAATTGTACATAAGCTGTGTGACTCCAGAGTCTATGATATTTTTGGTCAAAAGGGTGTTGTTGGGTGGAGGGGACACTTCCAAGTAGTGCTTAGAGAGCTTGAGGGCAAGATTTAGGAAAACTTGGCCAATAGAGTTGGTTGGATGATAAAGTGTTAAGGCCTGGCCATGAGGGACACGGATCATCCCATCTGTAGGTACATAGAGATCTCCTGGACCATACCCTCTGGTGTTCAGCGAACATGTGATTCCAGATGCTGATCAGGGCCTTGTATACGTACCCCTGGCTCCTGAACTGGCTCCTAGAACTCATAGAGCCTGTGATCCAACAGGTTTTGGTTTCTCATGAGAAGCAGCTGCCAGCATATTCAATAACTAAGAGTCAAGAATCAAGTTGAAAAGTAAATTTGGTTATAGTAAGATACTTGATGATTTTAATATACATAATAAAATACTTAAAATTGTCTGGATTAATGAATAGAACACAAACAAAATTAATTCTGGAGTAAGATTGCACACTGTTGAGACATTAATCTTGTCCCAGCAAGCAGTGTCTGTTTGTATAGACACTATGTTGAATGACTCTAAGAGAATGTATCACTTGTGTGCTCATTATCACTGTGGAAAAATTGTTTATTTTTTAATTATTTTATTTTATAAAGTAGTTCACAATATATGATTAAATTTAATATTCACACACCAATTCCACCACCACTACACATTCCCACCGCCATGTTTTCGATGTTTCCATCCCACACCCTGCCCCAAAGCAGAACCGAAATAATATATTTTGTATTGTTTATTATGAAAATTTTCTGAGAATGCTAGAAAAAAGTATCCTTCGAGGAAAGAGTGTCAGGCTTGTTGTATTTCACCCAGGGGCCATTAAGCCCTTCTATAAGAGATCACTAACATGTTGTTAAAGGTTGAGACTTGTGGGTTTTTTTATATATGTGTGTGTAAAAAAAATGTATATTTTTCTCTAAGATTGGTTGTCTCCTATTTTGACCCCTGCAAAATATGGTTGCAGTAATCCTGGAATATGGGTAGTGTATTTGGTTTGAAGTACACATGGGTGCATTTGAGGCCATGCGGTTCAGGAATGAATGCACTTTTGTGTGAGGCTCAGCCCAAGCATGTGGAGAGCGGCCGTAGTGTGGCAGTGGCTGAGTTGTAGAAGTTTTCAGCTGCCAGTTCTTGGTCTCTTGAGTGGGGAGGGGTCTTACCAGCCCCACTCCAGGACCCCCTGAGTGAAACAGCCTGGCATGAGGTCTGGTGGCATGATTATGAAGAGTGTCATGTTGCTCCCTTCCAGGAGAGAAGGTTGCACAATTTCTACTGAGGAAAAATTTTAAAAAACCTAGAAAATTCTTCAGGGAATGCTACACATTCACACACATCTCACACACTGACACACAATGATACAAACACATTATTTCACACACAGACACACGTTGATATACATATCTCATATATAGACACTGATACACACACATCTCACACACAGACACACACTGATACACACATATCTCTCACACAGATACACACGGATACACACATATCTCACACAGACACACACTGATAAAAAAGGTATGCACATATATATGCATGCATATGTATATATATATACATGCATAAAACCAAAAATCACAAAAAATAAAGATTGTTCTTGCCCAATGGATCGCATAAAATATATATGATATAATATGACAATTTGAGTATTTATGATTTTTTCCTCATGGTATATGTCATTAATTTTGCTAGAGACTTGTTGTTACTGTGTTTGACATATGGGCGAGATACTCTTGGTAGCTTGCCGGGCTCTCCGAGAGGGGCGGAGGAATCGAACCAGATTCACTGGGCTGGCTGCGCGCAAGGCAAACACCCTACCACTGTGCTATTGCTCCAGGAAAATGAAATGTTTTAGTTTTTCACTTTGTTTTTTTATAACAGTTAATAAGGTCATTTTATTTTTTAGTACCAAGTTATTTTTAATTTACTTTAATTTTTTCGTTCAGTTTAATTTTTCAGTTTAGTCATAAAATTACAAAGTCATCCATGGTTGGGTTGTTTTTCATTCTGAATGTGATGTGTTAGCAGAGAGCTGACTCAGTTTGTTCATAGATGTAGAGGCAGTCCTGGATGGGTACCAACTCATCTCTGAACCTCAAGGAAAACAAGGAAGGAGCCACTAAGTTCCTGCTTGGAGTGGAAAGTTCTCTTAGCAGTTAACTACATCAGCCACAAGGACAACCTTATCACAATTGATTTGCTCAGTCTGTGTGTTAGTCCTGTCTCCATGAATGCAGGAGAACTCTAACAATGTCTTAGAATGAATGAGTCAAACTCTCCTGTATCTAGAAAATGATGTTGCCTGTGCTGGAAGAAACAGGTTTCTTATGTTCTTGGAGGAAAGATTTAGTGAGGAGGTAAAGTTGCAATCTAAGGTTCCCGATGGACTGAAGGGTGGTGGTACCTTCAGCGCTGGAGAGACTGTACGGCAGGTAGGGCGCTTGCCTTGCACGAGGCCAACCAAGTTCAGTCCAAGGCACTACATATGGTCTTCAAACCAGAACCAAGAATAATTCCCAAGTTTTTTTTATTGCCTCTTTATATTTTGTATATTTATTTTTTAATTGAATCACCATGAGATACAGTTACAAAGATTGCATGTTTGAGTTTTAGTTATACAATGATCAACACCCATTAATCCACCAGTGCACATTTTCCACTACAAATGTTCCCAGTATCCCAAACACACACACATCCCACCCCACCCCTGCCTCTATGGCAGACAATTTCCCCTATGCTTTCTCTTTACTTTGGGCATTATGGTTTACAATACAGATACTGACTTTCCCGCACACATGTCTCATCCAGAGCAATCTCTCCAACCATCATTGACTTAGTGATCCCTTCTCTATTCCAGCTGCCTTCTCCCCCAGATCATGAGTCAGGTTAACAACCATAGTTCCCAAGTTTGAAGCTAGAAGTGACCCTTGAGCATTGCCATGTATATCCACAAACTAAAATAAAACAAAAAACAATGGTACCTGGAAAAGTGGATGTAGGCTCAGTTCCACTATGTCTCAGTTTTTTGTCTTTGTTGCAGAAAGAATTCAAGGACAAGACAGTGTAAGTAATAGGAGAGAGATTTATAAAAGAGATAGTACACACCTGATGTGGGGATGGAAGCACTCAAGGGGGAGTTACCAGATTTGGGAGGGAGGTCAAGGAGTTTTAAGGAGTGAGCTAAAGAGAAGAATATGCAAATGCAGGTAAGCAGGAGAAGCATGACAGGGGTGTGGCTAAAGTTTCAAATGTAATAAAGACTACATGCTTATTCATGTGTTGTATACATCATTAGCACATAATTATGCAACCAACGGAGGGGCAGCATGTAAGTTCATACATTTCTGGAGATTAAAGAGGAGAGAGGAGAAGCCGTGTCAGGGATCTCCTCACTGAGCCTGTCCTAGCAGCTGACTCTCTGTCAGGAAGTTGAAACCACCAACTTCTGCTGGGTTGCTCCTGGTTAGCCACCAGCCAGTCCTTCTTGCTCCCTGAGGTGGATTACCACACTGCCTCAGCTACAGCGGATGTTTTAACTGAACATTTTTTGAGTGGTTTTCCTACAGATGCCCACATCATAAGAGTGTGAGTGAGTTTAAGAAAAATCGGCAGGAGGTCTGTCTGACTCCCCCCACCAGATCCAACACTCTGCTCCATCAGCGTCTTCAATGGAAGTCATGGCTGCTCTCATTACTGATCATCTTCCTTATTCTAATATCCTACAGTTTCAATTATACTCTATATAAATGACCAATAATTTATAACTTTGATACAAGTTAAAAGTAAATCTCAAAACTCTAAACATCATAATAAAATCTTGAGTTTTATAAGAAATGTCTGAGGTGAAAACTAACTGTGGTGTATCACTAATGACTGCCCAGGTCCTGCAGACAGAACTTGCTGAGAGAGCTCAGTCCTTGCACATAGGAGTTCCTGAATTGCCTTTTGTTACTTTGTTTGTTAGTGTTCTTTAGTGTCACACTGAGCAAAGCTCAGGGACTTACTCCTGACTCTGTACTCAGGCATGACTCTTCGCAGCCTCGTGGGACCTTTTGCATGCCAGGTGGGTTGCATGCAAGACAAGTGCCCTAACCATACTTACTATATTTATTTCTTCTCTAATTTAAGAGAGGCCCCCTCTGTTAACTTGCACAGAACCGTGGAAACGACAAGGACAGAAATGCTTGACTTTTTCATCCACATCAGACTCTTGGAATACCAGTCAAACCCACTGTTCCAAAAAGGAATCCACATTACTGCTTATTCAAGATGCGAAGGAACTGGTAAATAATAAAATGAAGGACTAGAATAGAATTAGTTCTTGGGATATTTTGCTTTTTGTTTTTCTTTCTTTTTGGCATTTTGGGTCACATCCAGCATGCAAGGCAAATGCCATCTCTGCTGTGCAATTGTTCTGCCCCCTAGAATTAGTTCTTACTCCTAACTACATCAACACCTTTAGACCCTGCTAAAGACAGTGGAACTTTGATGTAAAGAATTTCTCACGCTAAGATACTAAAAAGAGAAGTAAGTAAATAATGGTGTTATTTTATGAATATAACCATTTAAATACAGAAAGATAAAGAAATTTCACAAAGGAGAAATAATACTTAGGTGAGTCGCACCTCCTGAGGCTTCTGGACTCTTTTCATCGTCCTCCCCTCGTGGTGGGGATTTGCGTTACTTCTTCATGTTGGTGTGGAGGTATGGAGACTGAGATGTTACATGAGATTGCTGGGTATGGGTAAACTACCTGCAGTGGTGAGCAGTCGCTGACCCAAAATCAGGGCACAGAGGTCACGCCCACTTCTGAATAGGCCACGCCCCCTAAAGGTATACTGGGGGGGGGGGGGATGAAGAGGACCTGGGCACAGCATTGGGGATGAACAGGAAGAGGCTCAGGGATGGTGAGCGTCCCAGGGTCCTAGAGGATGCCTGAGGCGTGGATGCAGGGAAATCCAAGTGCCTGGGTTCAAGTAAAGACTGACCTGTGGGATGAAGAAGACAGGGCACAGAGTTGGGGACGAAAACAAAGCACAAAGGAGAAATAATTCTGATGGTGAATTTAGAAAGACTTTATAGAGAAGTGGTGTCTGAATGAGTTTTTAGGTCATAAGCATATTTATGCTAACTATAGTAAAGTAAATTCAATATATTCTGTAAAGGCCCTCCCGTTGATCGTCGATTTGCTCGAGCGGGCCCAGTAACATCTCCATTGGAAACTTTGTTGTTACTGTGTTTGGCATATCGAATACTCTCGGTAGCTTGCCGGGCTCTCCGAGAGGGTCAGAGGAATCAAACTCGGGTCGGCCATGTTGGCCGCTTGTAAGGCGAATGCCCTACCGCTGTGCTATCGCTCCAGCCCTGAAATTCAATATATATACATTTCTTATTTAATTTAGAATGAGATACAAAGAACTATAAATGAGACAGGAATGGAATTTTGGATTGGATTAACATTTTCATCATCAGAGAAGAAGTGGAAATGGATTAATGATTCTTTTTTAAATCCTACTGGGTGAGTACTAGAGGAGTTATGCAAATATTCCACTTAGATTTACATGGAAAGATGGCAACATTGTTATTGAAGACTGAGTTTTCTCATTTTAATTAAGCTTAGAAATTTTCAAGAGGTTTAGAATAGGCTGAGCAGATCAGTGTTTCTTGTGTTCATTAAATATTTCATATGAAAAAATAAGTCCTTTATAATAATACTCTTTCATTTGTTTCATTTATTTATGTTAATGGATTCACTGTGAGATAGACCCTTACAAAGTTGTTCATGATTGAGTTTCAGTCATATTCCAACACCCATTCCTCCACCAGTGTACATTTCCCTGCACCAGTGTCCCTAAGTTCCTTTCCATCACCTCCCACTCTCACCCCTTACCTGCCTCTATGGCAGGTGTTTTTTTCTGTCCGTCTTTCTGTCTGTCTGCCTGTCTCTCTCTCTCTCCCCACATTTGTTTGTTTTAATTATTTACAGGATCCAAACCCTGTAGCACTGGGGACCTGGGACTACTCCCAGCTCTGCTCGACCCAGTGGTGCGGACCTAAGGGTCTCATGCTCAGGCCCAGTGATGAACACTAAGGCCCTGCAAAGCCCTGACCACTGGGTGTACACCTGGCAGTGATACACTGGGTAGGGCATGAAGTGCCAGGGATCAAACTCGGGACCTTGAACACACTGTACACATGTTTCACCAATTGAACTATTTTACATGTCTAATAGCATTTATTTATATTTAAAAGCATTTACTTATATTTGAAAAGTTGTTTAAGAGATAATGAATCTAATTTCTTTAAAAGGAAGACAATACATTCTTTAAAAATAAATTCTAATTGCAAACTACTTGGGATTTCTTCAGTAGCATTTTTCAAACCGTGAAGCATGGACTTTAGTGATGATAACCAGCATTGGAAAGCCAGGGATAAAAATTGGTGGTAAAACATTGGCTTTCATGAATGATTTAATATAATGCTATAAATTAGTGTTTATATAATTATATATAAATGGTTACAAATTTTGACCATTTAAACAATGAAAGTTCAAAAATTAAATATCAGAAAAGTTAGAGCAAAACCGAGAGAGAGAGAAACAGAGAAGAAATTGCCTACAATAGAAAGAGGATGGGAGAAGGAATGGGAGGGAAACTGGGGACATTGATGGTGGAAAATAGACACTGGTGGAGACATGGGTGATCGAACACTGTATGACTGAAACCCAGTCATGAACAGCTTTGTAAGGGTCTAAAATAGACTGATTCAATAAAAAAATAAAATAATAATGATAAAAGAAAAAAGGAAATAGAAAATCTCAGGAGCATATTCAAGTTTATGTAGCATGCAACAACTTATGAAATATTGAAAAGTATTAAATATATAAATACATGTTGAGTTAATGAGTCAGTACTGACATTATTTGAGTGTTATGCTAAGCTACTTTCTCTGACATTGTATGAATATTATACTGAACTACTTTCTTTTTTAAATTTTATTGAATAAATGTGAGATACATTTACAAGCTTTCATGTTTGAGTTACAATCATACAATGCTCAAACACCCATCCTTCCTCCAGTGCACGTTCCCCACCACCAATCTCCCCAGTATACCCCCCCTTTCCCACCCTACCCCTGCCTCCATGGCAGACAACATCCCACATACTCTCTCTCTACTTTCGGGCATTATGGTTTGCAACACAGATGCTAAGAAGCCATGACTTTTGGTCCTTTATCTACTTTCAACACATCTCCCATCCCAACCGATCCTTCCAACCATTATTTTCTTAGTAATCCCTTCTCTGTTCCAGCTGCCTTCTTCCCCCGCTCATGAGGCAGGCTTCAATGTATGGAACAATCTTCCTGGCCCTTGTGTCTCCCATCTTTGGATGTCAGTATCATGTTCTGTTATTTTATACTCCACAAATGAGTGCAGTCCTTCTATGTCTGTCCCTGTAATTCTGACTCATTTCACCTAGCAAGATATTCTCCATATATATTCACTCATGAGAAAATTTCATGACTTCATCTCTCGTAATAGCTGCATAGTATTCCATTGTGTAGATGTACCAAAGTTTCTTTAACCAGTCATCTGCTCTTTGGCACTAGGATTGTTTCAAGATTCTGGCCACTGTGAACTACTTTCTTAAATGCAAATCTCTAAGATAGAGGGTTTTTTGTTTGTTTGTTTTTTGCTTTTTGAGTCACACCCAGAGATGCACAGTGGTTACTACTGGCTCATGCACTCAGAAAATACTCATGGCAGTGCTTGGGGGACCATATGGGATGCTGGGAATCGAACACGGTTCAGTCACATGATAGGGTCGGCAAATGCCCTACCTGCTGTGCTATTCTCCAGCCCCAATAAAGGCTATTTTAAAGAGCTCTTATGAGCTAGAATCAATTTTTAAAAGACAAATATAGGCATATTTTTAAGCAAAAGTGATCCTGATATTGTATGCTTTCTGGGGATTCTTGTTTGTACTTTACTTCCTTATCAATTAAACTCTGGCAATAATATTTTTATGTTTTCATATAAAGTCAGGATTAATTTGGACCTATTAAATTTATTGTCTGAATATAAATTTTTATTATTTGGGTTCTCATAGATGTTCATCTTATTTACTTTCCAAATAAAATTGGATACCAGTATAGTCTCAATGAGTTCCAATATTGGTGAAGCAGATCTGAGAGGTTCAATTTAATATTCCATTTATTCTGGGGATTGAAATGATGTTTTGAAGTCCTGTGGAAAATAGTGCAATGGCTAAAGCATTTGGAATGCTCTCTGTCCCCCATCTGAACCCAAAGTCACATACCCACTACCCCAAGCTCAAAGCTCCCAGAGGGCAGTTCTTGCTGCAGACCTGGTGATTCCTAGCACTGTTGAGTTGAACAGCAGCATACTTGCAAACTGAAATGGTGTTTTGATAGAGATGGTAGTTATCAGGTAAACCTGGAAGGCATCAGATTATATAAGAAGAGTATTAGTTGAACTCTGCTCTTACTACTTAAGTATTCAACCCTGGTGTTCAGTTAACAAAAATACAGACGATGAAGCGAAGAGTTTTCTCAAGATTGCTTTGGAGACTGAATGAGATGCAGCCAGAGAAGCAGTCAGAGGTCTTTTCCAGGAGCCTTGAGCCATGAAGGGTTCCTGGAATGGAAGTCATGGCTTCAGCAAAATGAGCTCTAGGAAGTTACCTTGAAAATGGAAGAAAGGCTCAGGAGGTGGAGAGATCACAAATAGGGACTTGGCAATGGCCTAGTTAAGACAAGTTCTTTATGATACTGTGAAAGTCCATCATGTGTCTAACACCAGAAATGAATCTCACACTCATGCCATCCCCACACCAAACTCTAAACCTGCCTCTTCATTATTGTTTGTCCTCTTCTCCCACACTGCCTGCAGTGAGATACCAGATTCGTGCTTGATTGGGACTAATAAAAGACTGAAACTGACACCAACTAACCTTATGAGTGGAGGAAAAAGAAGCTCTGAGGACACAACATAGAAACAGAGCTTCTCTTGCTAGCTGAATCCCAGCTCTCTAGAATTGCATATCCACACCCCCGAGGTACTTGTTACATCACCAAGGTCACACTTTCTCTGACCATGTCACTCACATATGAATGATCTCCAATCATCACTGGTTTTTTCCTTTCATTTGCAAACACTGTGGCTGCTGAATTTAATGACTTTTTGCAAGTCAGGTTATAGTAGAATAAGGAGGTTCAGTTCCTAGTTTCCTAAGTTTTTCCTTTTATGTTTCTTACTATAGTGAACTTTCCCACAAAGATGAACTTG